AAACCGAAAATTAGTTGAAGGGAGTAGTTTGCCTTATCCACATTTGTTTGCCGAGAAAACATTCAGCTGCGTAAATATTTCATTAACTCAAAAAAGCACGTATTGCGAGATATCCTCATATCGAAACTTTACTTTTTAATGATTTCACTCCACACTTCCTGTTCTACACCTGGAGCTCGTTTCGGTTTAGCACAATCTTAAGTGAGGCAGTTGTCTACTAGTTAGTTACACAGTGCGAACAAAAATCTTCACCACCGCATGGTTCTACTCATTTTAATGCCTCGTCTAAAAGGTGAATCAGTACAATGCAGGAAAGGCAAGATTCCGTCAAACTGAATTGAGGGGCCAATGTGTGTTTGCTTCAGTTATGTATTGTACAGGTTTTTTTTATAATCCCACGATGATTAGGAAAAGTCAACACACAACCAAAGACCTCCGTACCGGATTGACGTCCAGTGATTGAGTGAAGCCTTAAAATCTAACCCCCGAATTCCGGAAAATAGAAAGCTAGTTCGGTAATCGTGTCATTCTGTCATTGTGCGTCATTCCGATACAGCATTGGGGTTATTAGCAATCCGGATCGGACGGTTATCGACTCGGCGGTTCGGTAAAGCGGTGAGATATGCACAAGATAGCTAACCTTGACCCGATTCGATAAGCATAAGGGGTGACGCATCGTTCCTGGCGCGCTACAACTAAAGTGGCTCGGACACTGACGACGGCTCAGGTTACCACGGCGATGAGTTCAGTGCTTACGGTATACTCTGGGCGATATACGTTTAAACACGTGGACAGAAAAATGTTTGAAAGGCTTGGGTCGGAGTTACTGGGGTGATCTTTGATGACTGGGCTGTTTTACATCAATGACCTAGTGACCACAACCAGTTATGTCACAATGGTAGCTGACCCATTTCTGGCTCAATAACCAGTGGAACCGAATGAAACAGAAGGCAATCGAACCGTTAGTCAGAAAGAGATTTTCCAACCAAAAGCGGATACTCGGTGTTTTGAGGTAACGAACATCCACAAATTTTATGACATTATATGAGAGGAATGGAAGGTTTGATTTGATTAGATTATAAATTCGTCATATAAATGAAGCGTGAGCTGAAAAGCTGTTTCAGCCGGTTTCGACATTACAGCGGACATTTTTTCACAAGCACGCGGTTAGCAAGCAGACTGAGAGAACAAGTAATGACCACTGTGGATGACATTAAAAGAGCGAATTGGATCAGTCTACCGACAGAATTGCAATATAATTAATCAGAGATGAACATCAGTATACTGAATTTGTTCACAATGGCAGTTACGCGCTAGTCATCAAAGTAAAACAATGAAATGCAGTCAGTGCACGTTCTACCCATTTTCTTTGAAGCCTCATTCTAAGTGAAACTAAGGGGACGAAAATTTCCGTGGGTACATCTTCCTTGAAAAGAAAAATTATCTGTGGAGTTGTTGGATGGTGTGTTGAAACGTGTAGTACACAATGCGCACCATGGTGATGTGGGAGTTAATGGTTTATTTCTTCTTTTATTGGTCCCAAGTAATCCCTTCATTTTTCCAATAAACCAAACATATCGATTAACTTGCTCATCATGTAACTTGAGCTGTAAGCTGTCAAATTTTACCTCCAGGGGTTAGGGGTGCAGGAGATAGGACCAGAGTGATGTTCGAATGCTGACAGTTGTGGAAACATGGGCACAGTCACATCAACGGAAATGCATCATACTGTCAATCATCAAGAAGGCCGCATGAGTTGCTGTATGTGAATAAAGACACAAGTATTGAACGCTGTATGGGTGAACAGCGTCATTCGAAGTGTATCAAATGCGCCGAGGGCAACTGTTTTCTAAGGAGTGAAAATACAAGGGGCCAGGAGAGAAAATCAGGAAGTCTGAACGACAAACATATTCGTTACAACGCGGGATTCGGGTCAACTAGGGGAAGGGAGAGAAAAAGTACAAAAGTGATTGAATCTTGGATTGAAAGGCGTGGTAAAATTCTCGAAAACCGTGAGATCTTTACAACCGTTTTCCATAAAACCTATTACATTCGAAAGAGCTAAGTAGTATTGATGACAAATTTGGTTTGATCCAATCGTGAGTGTCATCGTGTAAAGAGAATTTGAAACGTAAATTGAAAAGCTAGGAAGCAGTGAACAGCCGCTTCGACCTGGCTGAGTCTCATCAACAGGATGAATCTACTGACCCGACTGGGGATCGAACCCGGGGCCTCACAGGCATTTCCGCAAGGAGACTACCCACTCGGCCACCGGGAGGCTGATCAGGCCGCATTCCTTTTCCTTGTATACAACATAGAACAACTCATGTTTTAGGGCTTAACGCTGGAATCGTACCGTGTATCTCAGCACCAGGATCCAGGTTGATGGATTCGCACTGCTGATGAGACCACACCAGGTCGAAACAGCTGTGCTGTGTTTCCCAAGCTTTGCATACCACACTTCATTTTATTTTTACACAACAAAATACACCAGTTGATTCATAAGAGCATCTTGATATCGTGCGCATATTTGAATATCTCATATCGGCTCATCTTCATAGTATTCATATTATTCGTTCTATGGTGCTTTTAGCAAATCTCACCTGTTGCAGCATGGAGTTGAACATGTTTTCCCGCAATCTTCTTGTCAGACGCTCACCGACAAAACCAAAGAAAACACCCTGAAAGTAATTTGAAATATACTGAGATCGAATGATTCATTCTGAAAATGACATTTATCCAAACTCTGATGCGGGGTATTCGAAACAATTTGTAGGTTAAAATGGACGCGTTCACCACAAAGTACATAAATTCCCCGCATGAACGGAAGAGTTCCATTTGTGTTTGCGTACTGGGATTCCAAAACCTGATCTTACAATTCATCTTCAAAATAAACTAAAACCAATATTCAACTCTCACTCAAACAAACTTCCAGTATCCCAAAATGTTTTACTATCATAGAGAAGGCCGTTTGATGCAGAAACGTGCATTGGTACAATTCCAAATCAAGTCACCAACACAGTATGTTGTCTAAAAGTCATTCTGGACCACACAACAGGATAATGCATGTGTCATTTTATTTACTCATTTATCGCAGTTTTGACCGGACATTACTCAGTGACATGCCTCCTCATTCTTAGATTGTTCTTGGGTTAACCCTAGTTTTCAGAACCCATACATCGAACTGAATTATTCCGTTGTTGTCTCAGTTGTCAGTTGCAGACCATATGCCGGGCTGTACATGTTGTTTTATGCAGTTCGGGTTGAGTTGAAAATTATCTCGTCTCGGAGCCACAAATCGGGATCGGAATCATTGCTATTGTCCCCGTCCAAGGCTTTCCAGTGGAGTATATTTTAATCAGTTGGCATCCAAACTGATATAAGGGGCCTATCTGTTCAAGTAAACTTATTTCATTGCGTTTGAAAGAAAAAGCGTTTAGCGCTTAGGTACCACACTATCACAGTACCACAACAAAATATGAGACATATGACCATGACGTCCCACTTCCTAGTTACTGCAACCAGCACCCAACGTTTAAACTTTTATTATGGATTTACCCAAAACCTCAGTAAAATTGCGTGGTAATAAATCGAACAATGGTAACGTTCGTTAGAATCGAGAGAAGACAAATACTGCGAGATGTTAACATTTCTTTTAATCTCTTCAGTCGCTACAACGTAAAACAATCTGGTATTTATACAAACAAGTTCTGATATTTACCGTGGTATACAATTCACACGATAGCACCGTTGCCTCACCCCGTCTTATCAAATTTTGATCGTCTCCACAACGATTGAACTTTGGACAGCATGGATACACCAACGACGGCATATTCCATCACAACAAGAGCACAACCAGTGCCACTACGCCTACGTTCTCTTTGGAATATTCTTTATTAATTGTTTGTTAACCAAAATCCACAGGCTTATGCAATAGGATTAATATGAGACAGGCACACAGGTATCCTTAAATATTGAACGACGTCCTGTAATATCAATTTATCCCGAAAACATAATGAAAGTTTCCATGCCTGTATTCCAATGCCAACAAGTTTACCCCTACGTTTTCGTAAATCAGTCCTGTAGCAAGTTCTCTCACACGTGCGTGCCTGACAGGGTGGCTCCTTTTCGAGCAAAATCACTCCTCACATGCGGTGATCTAGACGTGACCGCATTCCAAGTACGACCAGGTCCAGCTTCATATCACCCAATCAAAGTTCATGCGATGCAACTGCGCAAACGCTACCTGAATTGGAAACGTTGCTGGATGACATCGTACTCCAATACCGAAATGGAACACATGCAAACACTAAGGAGAGCCCACCAATGCTGTTAAATTCCAGACGCTTGCGATCCTCCCTACAGTGCCTCGACTCCAGTGACGTCACATACTTCCGTGGTAATGATTTGCGACTCGCCCCTGGAAAGTTACACGACAACTGGGTCAAGCCATGGTAGAAATTACCGACTTGAATGATGCTA